TTTAAATACCTCGGAAATGTCAGTGGTGCTATCAATGTGATCAATTCCATTTGGTAAGTGTGTTTGAAGCAACTGATATTGCTATCAGAAAAAATCGTGTCTCATTCGGTCACAGTCACTAAATGAACGTTTCTGATTCGATGTGCGATTAATGAATGCGAGAAGCAAAAATGTCATTAGTCAATTTGGACACTTGAACAATAGAATAAAATCATTGAAAATACGACATTTGACAATAAATTAAATCCTCAAACAACGACCACGTCACTTCACGTCATCACATCGTATCACACGAAATGACGGTAAGTGTCGGTAGAAAGCACGACAACTATATCATCACAGAAACAAACTCTCAATATTGAGTATAAAAAATGCAACATGCAAAGCATACTGCTGTTTACTTCCATTTATAATTCAGCAGTTACGTTGAAAAAAAAAGTTTGCCGCAAATAAAAACGACACAGTAACATTCACACACCAATACCGAAATCGAAAATTGGCAAATGAAAAGAATATGCTGCGATTTTCTTCTGTTTCTGGTTCACATGGGTCAAAGTGAAAACCAAAATCAATACAACGAACGGTTAGCACGAAACAAAAAAATATCAATTCGATGTGTAAACCACCAAACGATGCCGTTCAAAATGAAAATCATCATTTATTTAAGTGCTTTTATCTCATTGTAATTCAACGAATGAAAAACGATATATAAACGCAAACACTTCTAACGTGTGTTTGTGTGTGTGTGTGTGTGTATGTATGTATGCGCGACGAGAAAAGAATGGCAAATCAAAACGACAAATTCAATTTCAATTCGATGAAAGTGAATCATATATACAAAAGCAAAATATATATATATATATATATAGAGAGAGAGAAAAAGACATCCATCCAGCCGTCGTGCAGAAAAAACAAAGTTCAGTTCGGCAAAAGGGTTATTTACAAACAATCTTCATATTCATTCAGTGACATCGATGGAAAATTCAGATACAAATTGCAAACTTGTGCACGTGTCACATAAAATTGTGATCGATCATAATGTATAAAAGATATGGTGACGAAGAAGCGAACGAAATGACTGAATGGAAATGAAAAAACAAAACAAAAAACTATAGAAAAATGAAAATCAAGCGAATTCGGTGCTATGTACATGGTATTGGCATTCGGAAATGAAGCTCATGGGCTTTTACGTGCGCACCAAGAATCAGTGTGTATTTGGTGTGTGTCATTGCATCGTCATCAACCTCATCATCGTCGAATCTGTCTTGTACGTTTGTTTCGTTATGTTATGACAATGATTGAACTCGATTCAACTTCCTCAATCGAGGAAATATGCCCGAAATTCAATCGACAAAACATTCACACACACACATACAGTCTCACACTCTACCTGTTATAACGATTCACCGTACGAATACAACGGTTAAAATGTCTTGTGTCAGCTTTTCTATAATTCAAGCAAAATAAATCAGAAGCCTTATGTTGCTACTCCTTTAGCAAAAATGAGCCGAATAGAATTTTCGGGAGAAGGAAAGATGAAATTATCCCAACACAATTTAAACAATTTAACGTGTTTTTAATTTCCTTCATTTAAAATAAAATTTCTTATTGCACTCCAATAAAAGCAAAATAGAGACGATGTCGAATACAAATAGTAAGAAGTAAGATTAAAATTTTATATGTATTGCGTTCGTTGATTGGTTCTATGCAATGAATGTTTTGTCACATTCACCTGTACCTACAACAACGAAATGGCACAAAAACGAATCGATATGTTGTTGTTGTTTTTTTCATATTTCATTTTCTATTTGTTTCGATATCCTCTTTGCTCTTCGGTTACCGGTACAAAAAAGCAGAAAAGAAAATAGAACGTACAAACAGGATACAGAATTTTAATGGAAGCAACGCAAAAGAGAAAGAAATACAAATTTACTTCGCTTTCTTTGTATGTATATGTTCAAAATGGATTGTTTATTTTTTCGAAACTTTTTTTTTTGTCTTCTCCCTCTTGTTAACTGTGTACACCCTTGTTTCTTTGAAAAGAAAAATCTTATTTTTTTTTTTGAAATGAAAGTAAACTTTAGATAAAATTTGTGATGCGGACAATATCCCAATGAAATGCCATCAAATGCCATTTTCAATGTTCGTGCATTGTTGCTTTGATTGCTTCACAAGTCTTCACCTCTCGATTCACTCGACACACAATTTTATTTTTGTTTTCGTTGATGCTGATGTTGTCTTTGTCTTTGTGCGTGTATATATATGTTTTCTTCTTTGTTTCGTTAATTCGATTCGTTTCGCAGGCCGGGATTGTGATTCTTTGAACTGTGTAACTAAATAGCCAAAGGGAATATGACCAATTGATCATTTCGTCTTGTGCTCGTTTCGTGTACAACAGCTGTGATTCGGGGTTGTTACTTTAATTAACCACGCGCATACTTGGATCTGAAGCAAAACGACCCACAGCTCGATTTTATATGGCCGGATTCATTTTTTTACATCACCTAAAGAAAATGCTTCACCAAAAAAAAAAGTCGTGTAGTAACAACAATGAAGTATGCTTGTATTTTAATGTTTTGAAAAATATTGCTCCATCTATTTATCTAATGTAATTAGAGATTTACATGAGACTTGAAAATCTGGCTTCCTCGACCAATAAAAAGTCCGATATCAAATTAAAATTAAAAATGTTCCCCTTCAACTCATTCTATTTTCATCACATCATTTCAATTAGGCAGTTAATTGGAAGGAAAAAAGACAAAATAGCAAGAAAGCGCATTCTTGATTATTTTCAGTTGCTTGGTACAAGAAAAAATCAACCCCTGTTTTCAGAAAATACACCACAAATCGTTTTCCCTTCATCAAAAAAAAAGATAATCATTTTTATATGCTGAAAATTGTCACAGGGAGTAACAAACTCAAACATCATCGAATAATAAGTGTTTCTTTTATTTGTCTAAACCGGACGAATTGACAACCGTCAAGATCTATCTCCATTTGTTTGATGCAAGTTAAACCTTTCGGTCGAAATCGTTAATCGGCGATACATACAATTGTGTACTAAATATAGCGGAAAAAGGATCTAAGACAAAATATAAGTGGAAAATGAAAGGAGCTGCAAATGTCAGAGCGATCAAAATATCAGAAGATGGTCAAACCATCTATATAATAGACAAGTTGCGAGTTGTATGTGTATGGTATTGTCGTTTTTTGTTTGTTCTCATTCAATCGATGAGAGCATTGTTCTCTTACTCTCTGCTATTTTATTTGTTTATCTCAATCCAAATCGCAATCAAAGACAGAATTGGAAAGCCAGAAGACAGCTCAAGCACAGTACTCAGAATAGGAAAAAAAAAGACAAACAAAATAATAATACTAAAAATAAAATGTACAAAACAAATCCACTCGATTATAGAGAGCATAGAGCTTCATATTGTGTAATTGTGTGTGTGTGTAACTTTTCTTCTCTTGCCTGCATTTTTAGCTCACAAAGTCAAAGCTTATAGATGTGACGAAGCAAATTACTGTTACTCCGAATTGATATGACCATATCCTCATTCGTCGAGAGTACGTTCGCTTATTCTACTTTCAAACATCGAAACGAACATATGGTCCGGTGAACGAACACAACACACATTTCGCACAAATATCGAAAGCAAACGAGCTGAATGTCTTTGTTCGTGCGCATTCGTTCCACAATGTGAACGAACACGAACACACACATATTTTAATGGCCAATGAACGAACATGAACATAAACGAACGCGAACGACTCGTTGATAACTGTAGCTGTATCCAAGCTCAAATAACAATATACACAAACACATCACATGTGCAATGGACTCGACTCAATAATATTATAGTTGAAATTGCTTGTGGAAAAGAGGAGCATATTATTATCGATAGAACGAACGACGATGACAACAACCAAAAAAAATTGTATCAGTAGATGGGTAAACAGAATAAAGCTTACTGGGAAAAACGTATGCTGTTAAAAGATTCGTTTTACGATTATTCTGTTCAATATTTGGTAAAATGAATCATCATCAACCATGTACAATATGCACGGGCACAGATTTCGTTTATATATTAGTAACGATTTTTGATGTTTGCGCCGTTTACCTCGGATTTGTTGGATCAAACATTGTGAGTGTGTGTGTCGAAAATGTTTCATTCACATTCAATCAAAAAAAAAAAATATAGCGAACGCATCACAAACACATCTAAATTACACGCACAATAGTACAAAAATTGCCCATATCAGTTAGTACGTACGATGTGCATATTTTTATCAGGCATTTTCTAGTTTCAGTCGTTTCTTTGTATCCATTCAATATACTAACTCAATGAACTCACGGAACATTTACGAAAAAAAAGAGATAGATGGATAAAGATATAGTGTGGCTACTTTTTGTCGATTTTACGGGTGCGTTTACTCTTCCAGCTAGTCACAATCCAAACCAGTATCTTCAACTTCATCAATGAAATTGAGCGAAACGCTTGAAAAACTATGTTGTTCTTATACGTATCATATCGAATCCGTATCGCATAATCAATAATGTGCTTGCCAATGCTTGTACAATATGGCAAAAAGGGTACTCTTTTTTTCTATCCACATCTAATACTATCTATTAAACATAATATCGATAGCTTTTCAATAGCCCTGGTAATATCTTAAATAATCGGTTACATAAGCGAAGAGATAATAAAACTGGTTAATAAAAACAAAAGTAAGAGTTTAAGAAGAACGAAACGCAAAGTGGGAACAAACCCGCACTGCAAAAACAACAAAAAGAAACAATGGGGTCGGAAGAGAGAGAAAAAAAAATCCCGAAAACGGAATGGGTTTATTATGGAGGCGAGAAGTATCTAATCGAAGGTACAGATAGATCTATTTATCTAGATGAGACAGAATAAAAGAAGAAAAAAAACACACAAGTCGTCGTCGTTGCTCATACTTATGCAACCGAGAGTTAAAATGGCAAAAGATGGAAAACTTACCCGGATCGTCATCGTCATCAGCCCAATCTATCTGTCCGCTGCATTCGGCGAATGGAAAAATCGTCCACTGTAATACCATACAAATGGTTAACGCAGTGGCCGATAACCGCAAAAAAGTAAATGATAGTCTTAAATCCATTGTCAATGGTTGAAATGATGGCAACAGCTATCCATAAAGTATTTTATGTATTTTTCACTGGGAACTGTTCGTTCGTCCTACTCCTCGTCTTCTTCTTATTATTATTATTATTATTTTTCCCCTGTTTTTTTCTGCGTTCTTTTCTCTTTGCACTCTCACTCTACTTTCTTTTCGTTTTTTGGTTATTGCTTGTTGCCGTCGCCGCTTTGTATTCACTCTTTTTATTCACTTTTTTCTTCCTTACTGTTGTTATGAATGTATCAGTTTTGTTTTGTGTTTGAATACTACATAAATAAATTGAGAATGTGTCTTTTTTCGGGTTTTTTTTTGTATCGTTTTAAGTTGGAGCTATTTGGGCTTCTGTTATTATTTGTCTTTAAGATACTTTGCACAAACACGATGATGACGATGAATGGTGGTGGTAGTGGTGATGATGATGGTGATGATTGTGCGATAAGATACACAAATATGCTGCGTAACACTTTTTTAAACCGACGTTTTCACTCTTTTTTTTTCTGTTGCTACTTATTTACCTAGCCCGCTCCGTTTCTGTGTCACACGGCTCTGGATGGCCGTCGACTTAACTTCAATATTTATTATTGGTTAAGTAGATATTATCTCTTTCTTTGTTATTCTCGAAACGAACCACAACAAAAAAAAAGAAAACATTTTCTTATTTCGTTCTTATGTAATTTGATTTTTAATTGAGTTTTCCTGTGTTCCGCTTTCATTTCACCTTCATAGAAGAAGAGACAAAAAAAAAACAACATAAAAATCATAATAATGAGATTGAAAAATTATATACTCTTTAAACTTTGAATGCGCAAAAGTGCAAGCGCTCAAAGTCCCTTTTAATAATATATAAAAAAATAGTTATGCACATTATTGCACAGCAGATAGGTATTTGAAAAATATTGATTTGTTGCAAAAAAAATGTACAGAGATTTTCTGAATTTTATTTAATTTCTTATACCGTTTTTTATCACTGTATCATGCGTTGTAATGCCCGGAATGTGAGATGAAAATGGAAAGCAATGACTTTTTCAATGTTTAATTCCACGTGACTTTGACGAATTAATTGTAGACAGTAAAAAGCAGAAAACTGTGACTGTTTATTCTGTATAATCATCGGTATCGGCACTGTTTTAACCATGACTTACTGCAGTACATTTGAAAATTCATTCGTCCAATTTCAGTTTAGTTTCATAGTTTTTGTCGGTTTTGAATTACTTATTCTGTTTAGGTCAAACACATTAAATATATAATGTGCATGCATTTATGAATATAGAATTCTAGAAATGCAGTTGAAATATAGCACAATAGCTGATACATCTTTGATAAATGGATCGATAATCGACAATTGTGTTAAACGCCATTTTTAGCATATTTTTATTTTATTAAATAATGCAAAAATATTTTCTTTTTCTGATGTAAATATTTTATGCTTCAAATAATTTATCAAAATGAGAAGATATTTTTTCATTATTTAATTCTTTATAAATATAGTTGTTCAACAAAAATAATAATTATTGACCGACATCAAAACTCATTTATTTTTAATTGCGTTGTTGTGTTCTTTCTTCCTTTTTTTTAGTTTTTCAAATTCGAGTAACAAAATTGGAATTTATTCTTGAATGTTATCACAAACCACAAATGTAAAAAAAAAGATAATTTTTTTTTGAATTTGAACATCGGAAATGTGTACTAGGAAAGAGACTTGTGTTTCAATTGAAAATGTAAACCACAAAACCAATGATTTTAGAATTGATTTATTGTGGATTTTGCCATACAGTACACAAGCGAGTTGTACAGTAGCTTGATGTTGCTCATTTTCTTTAATGCGTTCTACTTTGAACGAAATTGTCGCAACTTCGTTTAATACCGCTACAGTTAGATTGAGTTGCAAAAGTTTGTAGCAGCATTTTTTTTTCTCCTCTGTCTCCTTAGAATGCAGTTTGTCACGTGCATTGAATTGTGAAAAAGAAATTATATCTCCTTCAACGAACTTGAGACTTTTGATAAGCATTTTATTACGCTGTTTGTGTTCGAAACTCGATGCTTTTATAAAAACGAATAAGGTGTAGAAATATGAAGGGAAACGATTATGAAATAACCTCGATTATTAGTTGGTAAATGATAGAAAAAAATACTGTGTGCGAAATCATGTGAATTGAATCATGCCACAAAAATCAATTTGCTAGAAATGTCGCAGGTTAAATAGCACTTAAACAATGTAATGGCTAAATACACTTAATTTGTTTACGCAGCGATAATTAAGAAGATAGAGAGAGTTTGTGTGTGTGATAGAGAGTGGGTGAAAGACTGACATGTAATTGGAGACCGAATGAATCAAAAAGTATAGAAAAAAACCACAAATTATAATGTTTGCGTCATTTCTTATCGCCAAATATTTGGATAAAACGTTAGATTTTTGCTTCCATTTTCATTGCATACTCCGCTTATTGAGCATTCGAACAAAATTGACTTTATTACGTACTTTAATTTACTCGATAGGTTTTTGTGACACACCACCATTTTTACAGTGTTGTTCTTTTTTTTCCGTGTCCTTTTTTATATTTACTGCCAACACCACATAATCATTTAATCCGATATTGTTGTTTTTTGCCTGCGTGTTTGCTTTTTTTCTCCCCCGGTTAGTTCACTTCAGTTATTTTTTTTTGATATAATCATAAGCAATCCGATTTAAAAATGTTTTTGATATTTCAAACACTATTCACTGATTTTCCGTTTTTGTTTCGGTTTTCAAATAGTTTAAGTTCTGTTTAATATGGTGTAAAGTTATTTTTACAGCGATTACTCCAGATTTTCGACGTGATTTCAGGGCACTGTAATGAAAGAAACATACATATATGATTATTTTATGAAATGAAAAATTCTATTCATATAAGTCTGATGGATGTGCGCTATTCGCGTTATACGGTTGTAAAAATGGGTGGAAAAAAATTGTATGCCAACAAATCCGAACAAATGTGACTTTCTCGATTGAATAAAAAGAACGGCGCTGCAGTGAAATATTTTCAAGAGATGCGTGCATGCATACCAGTAAAATTAAATCAAAATACAACCGAAAATCTCTTTATAGTCAAACAATAGAAATTGAAGATTGATTAAAGCTCATTTTTTTCCATTGTATACAATTCGTATGCAATAATCCTAATAAAGAGCATGACACATTCCGTGCCATCAATCCATCTGACATAAAAAAAAGACAAGAAAATGCGTACTATGTGTAATTTTGATCTTTGTATTGTGATGCATGTGCGACACAATTCGAATATATGACATAAAAATGTCGAAAATAAACAATCGAAGAAACTGCCAAATTGGGCGACGACTTTTTCGTTTCCCTTCTCTCACGTTTCTGATGCCGTGGATTTATTTTCCATCACATGAAATATGGACCACATTTGAATGAATGGAATGGCAAATACTTATCTGGCGCACATTTATACATCAAATTTAGTAGGGATTCTTTTTCATCTCATCACAAACACACACGCACCATTCCATTTCGACCCCATTTTCTATTGATCAATGACAACAACATTTGACTGTGTGTGTTGTAAATGCATTTTATTGTGTGCCAAATGAGCATCATATTTATAATCATTGACATTGTACGCAGTGTCTTGACTTTTTTGCCACCTTTCAAACAAAGATACATAACATTCTCATAACGACCAATTCAAATGATGATTGACCAATCTGTGATGACTTTCATAAAAAAATATGTATAATGTATATACCCATACCGAGTGAGCTAAGTGCTTGGATAAAAAGTTAAGACCACATGTTGTTGTTGTAAAAAAAAAGTTGCCCAAGATCGGAAATAATGATAATTTAGTTTTCTTCTACAATTTCTTTGAAAGTCATTCAAATGTCTCTATTTCCCTGTCTCACATTCTTTCTGATCAACTGAAATCGACATTTTGTCGCTCCATACAATTTTATTGTTATTGCTTATCGCTTAGTTGTCTCATTGCCAAATGTCGAACCAAACCAAAACGTAAATTAATCACGTCCTGAAAAACACATCTGAAGTGATATAGTTTGCCATTATCATCAATGATGGTGGTTGTAAAGCCATTTCGGTGCCCCCAAAAATCTTTGATTATTTACAGAAAAACCGAAAATATTAATGCCAAATTAATGGAGCAGTCAACGCATATATTGAACTTAATACCTTTTATTGTGTCGCCGAGAATGAAAATGACTTGAAGAATTTCGCTTCCTATTAATGGTTGTTTCGGTGAGCGAGAGTGAGGTTTTTATTCTCAGCGACACATATGTGTATACACACATCCACCGAATAACTTTTTATCAAAAAAAAAGAAGTCACTTTGCATTCTCCGTTATTTCATGTAAATCGATTTGTTTGCTAATCTGAACTGTCGTGATGTTTCCGATATTCGCATAGCACACAGACTAAAGTGAAAAGTCATTGATTTGATAGCATATTCAACTATGTACGCAATTTTGAAGCATGCGTCTCGACTGAATCGAACCATATGACACAACCTTCACAACTTACTTTGCCTGATCAAAATTGATGCCTGATTACAAACACAAACCAAACCGAAAAACTACTGACATCGTTCGAACTGATTTTATTGCTAATTTTCGTCGAGTGTGTGTGAGGGAGAGAATGCGAGATTTTGTAAAAACTTTTCCATATCACTTTGCATGCGCTCACATTTGTGTCCTACGTGTGCAAATGATGTGATAAGATAATCCATTCGAATTTTATACTATGCCATAATACACAAATTGCTATCGGCTTTCTAAGTCAAATTAGACGATTTTCTTTTCGCAATTTCGGATTTCTGATTAACACTCATTGTGCGTTTTCCTCGAAACCAAATAAGTTGTTGTTTTTTTTTCTTATTAACACCGTGCAAAATTTTTTTATCCGTTTAATTTCCAGCGCAACAAAAGAAACTCGATGATTTTCAGGAATGTGTAAGGCTTGAAAATCAACATATTCGCAATTTTTTATCTTGAACGCATTCCGTCGATGATTCGAAAATATACAGCCAACATCGAATCGTCTTAATGAGACCATGCTGCTTTCGTACTTCGATTGCATGACGTTGGTGTCAGATATGATTGTAATAATGAGTATTTATGAACAACGAAAAGAGAACCGAATATTCTCGAGAATAAGATCAAATTTTATATGGGCGAGATGTGCATGGAAATGGATTTTATCAAGCATTTTTCATACTTAATACATTGTGTTGTGTTCGGTTTGTGTTGGCATGCCATTCGTTATTCACAATTTTTCCATTTGTCCTATATTATCGATTGAGTAAGCTGGAAAAAAGCAGCGTCTCCTGAGTTTATCCTATGCATTTCTTTTATTTATACATTGTTTTAATAATATACTTGTTTCAATATTTGGATTGCAAAATTGTCTGCGTCACGTCTGATGAGAATGCGAACGATGACTATGATGATCCACACTGACTGATTGTTATGAAAAATATCTATCTAACCGCGAGCATAATGCCACAAGACATGACGAACACTACTCAAACGCATGCCGTTGCCAACTTGTAGTAGATGAGATATCTCTATTTATATATATTTTGTATATTCACGCTTGTGCGTGTGTTTGCCAACAGTGTGTGTGTGCAAAATATATCAATGTGTGGCCTGAATTGTGCGAGTATACTGTGTAGTACTCTTCTCTTTTTTATTCAATTCAATAGTGATGTAAATCGTCTGTGTTCAGATTATGCAGGGTAACCTAATTAAATGTCTGCAGCTATTTACGATTCAAGTCGATAATAATATGAAGATAACTTGAATTTTCCACGGTGTGTTTTTTTTCTCTCTCTCTCAGCGACGGAATGATGGAAAAACGTAAGGATATCAACAATGGTTTTGAATTTGTTCGAATGACTCTCGTCTTTTTCGATTCAATGCAAATGAGAGTTTTCTCTACCACATTCAAGTAAAAAGTTTTTCCACCTCCATGTCGGTACATCCACATTCTGTTGCTAGGAAGTATAAAGTTGATGTATGAAAACGAGGCTCAAAGGCAAATGGTATGTGTTTGTATTATACTATCTATATTCTGGAGTTGTGGTTGCTCTTTAATGAGACCATTCTCTTGTGTGGAGCTTGCTCGCTCGCTTACAATGTGCGCTTCATCCTTTTAACCTCCTCTCTCTTTCTCTCAGTACTTCTTAAATTTAACGCACGGAATTTATGCTCGGTTTTAACTAAATGGGCTAAAATGAATAATTTAGTGTGTAATATGAAACACTGGCATTTTTTTGTTGTTGTTGTTGTTGTTTCATAACCCGCATCTGCTCAATGAATGTTTGCACATTTTATGCGACCGAATTTGGATGTTTGACACTGTATATAAGTGTGTATGTAGTTTGCAAACGTCGCTGATTGCACGATTTAAACGAAGGTGATGATGTGCGTGTATGCGTTACGTATGTATTCGGATAAAAATAAGGTTGAAGATGCACGAACGAGCACGGGCCACATTCCTCGTGTCTCTTTACTTTCCTTCCCTTTTTCTCGACCCATTTGACCGACTTCCACAAATATAAATGAGATGAAAGCACACATTTTCTACACAGCAAGTTTTTTTCTTCTTCTTTTTCTTAATAAGCGTTTGTTTTCTCTGTCTTTATATCTGGTTTTTTTTAGTAAATCGTTTAACTTAGACTCTCCTGTTGCGTGAGCATCAATGTAACATTCGTTAGGTGAATGGTACTCATAAATTGAACTATCAAAAATGTATGCATGAAACCGGTTTTTTCCCTTCTTGTTACTTATGTCGATTGGTTTGGAAAATACAATTTTGTCAGCTTTGATGAAAAAAAAAATGTCGATGCCGAACAGATGACACATCAATAATCAGTTATTGACAAGCACAAAAGATTCTCACTCACTTTTGCATGCTCACGTTCACACACACACACACACACATACACCCACATCCAGCGAATCTACAACACAAACGCTACGTACACGTACGCACATTCGGAGGCGTTCGTGTGAATTCACATGGTGAAAATCATGGTGCTTTTTTTTCATGACATTCTTTGGCGCCTATTTCGATTGACTGACGTTTTATGTGTGACAAAACGAAAAGAAGTGTATATAATTCAACTTTGATAATCGGTGTCATCGATAGTTTCGACTTCGAATCAAAAGCTAGAATATCGATGTGACTTCATTCATGCGAGGAATACACACTTCAGTAATGATACATCAACATACCGTGATTGAACCTTTCTACATTCGAATTTTTTTTTTTTTTTGATTGGATTGGATGAATATCAATTCATCATGTACTTCCTGTTACCGTTTATGTATTTTCGAAAATACAATCATTTTTGACACATCGATCACAGAAAATGTCCAATATGAAGAAGAAAAACACCGAAATCGATGACGAAATGATTATGATTTTGACGTATTTTGTTGATTTGAAATATTAGATATTTTTTTATTAATGATGGTGAAATTGTCGGTGGCTGATTCCCACGTTAGGCGTTGAAATGAAGTTTTGGAATTAAAAAAATCGGTTTTCGTGCAACTTTTTCATCAATTTGGCGGAAAAATTGACATAGCTTTGCATTTAACTATTTACAAAAAAATAATAATTGTCGCCACGGGCGAAACGAAATACTCAAAGATTATAATCGTTGCATGGGACAAAAACAGTTCGCATTTATGACATTATCAATTGAGTCGGCACGCTACAAAGAAATATAAAGACACACAAATAGCAACGAAACGAAATGAAACGGAATAAAGGAACAAACGGAAATATTTCATTGAAACGATGCAAATGGAA